GTTTTGCACATTCTACGTTATTCTTTAGCATTGCATAGTATTCCATTGTGTGTATGTACCATAGTTTGGTTATCCATTCCTCAGTTGATGGACACCTAAGTTGTTTCCATCTTTTGGCTATTGTAAATAGTGCTGCAATGAACATGGGTGTGCATATATCTGTTCTGGTCATGGCTATCACTTCTTTAGGGTATATACCTAGTAATGGAATGGCTGGGTCAAATGGTATTTCTAATTCCAGCTTTTGAAGAAATTGCCATACTGCTTTCCACAACGGTTGTACCATTTTACAGTCTTCAAGTTTCCTCTACTTTTTAACTGTGTTTTTTATTTTCACATTTAAGCTATTTTTTTTTAATTTCCTTTTCTATCCTAAAGTCTCAGACTTGCGAAAAAGCTCGCTTCTTCAATTTTTATGTTTTGTATTTTCTTTCTTATTATTTTTTAATGACCTCTTTGCTCTCTCTTTTAGATCTCATTACAACATCTTTTAGGTAGAAAAGGCTATCTGACACATGTACATGTAATTTCTTAATTAGTATAGTCGCCTGAAGAGAATTTCAAAATGGAATTTAACACATTCTTATCAAGTATTTCTTTGAACCCTATAATTTTATTTTATCCTTTTCTTGTAGAAGGGCTATGGATATATAGGTGAAAGTGCCAATTTTCTTCTTATTGTTACTGCAGAAGAAAATCTTGAGTTTAAGATCGATTTCTTTTTATCAACAGGATTCATTGATGCAAATTTTAACACCTTTCTAACTTTTCTAGGGGACACTGGTGGTTCATTGGCAGAAGTCTTTCCTTTCATGTGAGAGACCAGCTTTGATTCTCAACCATTGCACCTCGTGCACAGCCACTACCAGTCCTTCAGTGATTGTTTTTGTGTGGCTATGATCCTGAGCAGGTTTTAGCAAAGCTTCCAGACTGAAACAGAGTAGGAAGAAAGGCTTGGAGCTCTACTTCCAAAAATCAGCCAATGAAAACCTTTTGGATCACAATGGTTACAACCAATCATGGGGATGGTGCAGGACTGGACAGCGTTTCCTTGGGTTGTGCATGGGGTTGCCATGAGTCAGGGCTGACTCAGTGTCAGCTAACGACAACTTGCCTAACACCCTTGTTCTTATGTGCAGTACTCATAGCGACCCCTCCTTGGGTTTCCAAGGCAGTATCACTACGGAAGTAGATTACCCAATCTTCCTTCCGAGGAGTGGCTGGTGAGTTTGAACCACCAAACTTCTGGTTAGCAGTCAAGTGCCTTAGGCACTGTGCCACCTAAAACCCTTACCACTTACTATCCATATGTGTGAATGTGTGTGGTTGTGTGTCATCAATTCCTACTCATAGTGACCCTATTAGACAAAAAAAAAAAAAAAAAACTGCCCCATAGGGTTTCCTAGACTATAAATCTTTATGAAAGTAGATTGCCAGGTCTTTTCTCCTGTGGAGTTGCTGCTGGTGGGTTTGAACCACCAATCATTTGGTTAGCAGCCCAATGCTTTAACCACTGCACCAACAAAGTATCTTACTATCTATGTATGGTGGTTAACTGCACTCTCCAAGGAGCCCGGGTGGCACAAGTATTAAGAACTCTGCTGTTAACACTAATCTATGGGTGGATACATAGGTAGACAAGCAAGAAGATTAGATGGACAGATGAACGGGAATATACCCACAGCCATACATAGGTTGGGCAGACGATATTCCTACATATGTATTTGTATGTGCTATAAAATTGTCCATATGCAGTATAGAGCTAATGGGGCAAAGTTAGGATAACTTCTTAGCCACAACTAAGCACCTTGAGGAAATGAGTTGCTGGGCCTGTGTGCTCAGGACCATGGTCGCAGGGGACATCAGGCTCAACTGGCATGACCCAGTATACAAATATATTGTTCTACATCCTAATTTGATGAGTAGTAACTGGGGTCTTAAAAGCTTGAGAAAGCAGTCATCTAAAATGTAACTATTGGTCTCTCCTCATCCAGAGCAAAGAAAAGTGAAGAAAATCAAAGATGCATGGAAACAATTAGTCCATATGACTAATGGACCATGAGAACCTCAGCCTATTTGACCCTAAGGCCAGAAGAATTAAAGGATTCCCTGCTACCACAGCCAACCACTTGGAAAGGGATCAGAATTGGAGATCCTAAATAGAGTGGGAAAAAATGTGGAATAACAACAAAAAAAAAATGTAAAAGAAGACCAGGATTACTGGTCTGATAGAGACTGGTGAAACCCTTTATTCCGCCTTCAGGCCTGGGATTGGACTCATCCCTGTAGCTAACTTTCAGCCAAACAATAGATTGGCTTACGAGCTGAACAACTATACCAGGGAGATGTATTTCTTAAACTAATCAATCATGCCAGATCAGAAGGGCAGCATTTGCACAGGGAAGCAGGAATGCATAGGCAGCAAGGACGTAGGGAAAGGGTAATCACTAGAGGGAGTGGGAAGAGAGCTGTTACATTGTGGGGATTGTAATCAGTGTCACAAAAGAAACTGTATATGAATGCTGAATGTAAAATAAATCTGCTTTGTAAAATTTCACCCAAATCACAATAAAAAGTTTAAAAAAAAAAAATGCACTCTGCTGATAACTGAAAGGTTGGTGGTTTGAACTCACCTGGAGGTTCAGTGGGAGAAAGACAGCAATCTGCTCCTGTGAAAATTACAGCTCAGGAAACCCAATGGGGCAGTTCTGCTCTGTCACATGGGGTCACTATGAGTCCAAATCAACTTGATGCCACCTAACAGCAACAATTACACTCTTTAGAGGGTCTTGAATCAGATAGAATTAGTATTTTAGCACCTGGTGTCTAAGGCATTTGACTGCTAACCAGAAGGCTGGTAGTTCAAACCCACCAGCCACTCCTCAGAAGGAATGTTGGGCAATCTACTTCTGTAGTGATACTGCTTCAGAAACCCAAGGACGGGTGCTATGAATCGGATCCAACCCGAGGGCAATGAGTTTGGTTTTTGGTTTTGCCTAGGGTTTATATAAGTATGAGTGAAGCTGTGCTGGACCCACAGTGAATTTCTGGTCAGCCATAATAAATGCAATTCAAAATAATTTTTAATTTGCTTAGAAGTCTACAAAGGCAAGAAATGTAGACTAGAACACTTCTTTTCTCGTGTTTTTGCATGGCAGTCATGCCTAGGATGCATAAAATGAACAAACTAATAGACATATACTTTCTCCGAGGCCTATTTTTACCCCCGAACCTTTTCCTTTCTAATCAGAATGACCCAGGAAGCCTAGGCAGGGATATAGAAAAAGTCATGGCTCTCTTAAAAATATAAAATCAGTTGAAAGAAAACTTGTGTACTGGGATAGGGAACAGGACCAGGTACCAAGATCCTTGTATTTCCTACACTATATGAAAAGTTGCAGAAAAGTGAAGGAATGGCCTGGATATTTAAGAAAATTTACATTTATTCATCATTTGTTGTTGTTGTTGTTATGTGCCGTCGAGTCAAACCCGACTCATAGCGACCCCTCCTTGGGTTTCTGAGGCAGTATCACTACAAAAGTAGGATTGCCCAACGTTCCTTCCGAGGAGTGGCTGGTGGGTTTGAACCGCCAGCCGTCTGGTTAGCAGGCAGGTGTCTTAGCCACTATGCTACCAGAGCTCCCTTATTCATTATAGATATGAAAAAAAAAAAAAAAAAAAAGACCAAACTCATTGTCATTGAGTGGATTTCGACTCACAGCGACCCCTCCTTCTGTTTCTGTGGTGGCATTACTATGGAAGTAAATTGCCCAGCCTTCCTTCCATCATTATAGATGGAGTGACTATATAATTGCTTTTACAATTATGATAATTTTGAGGGTGAAATAGGATGTTATTAACAATTATTCTGTGACAGCAAGTATACAACAGAACAATTCCAGGGAAACTTGTACAAAAAAATCCACCTTAACTATAAACAAAGTCAGAAATAAATTTTAGACTGTGAGGACCATAAAACATTGCCTGGAGGAGATTAACATGAAGAATTTTTGTAGAATGGGAAGCTTCTTTATGGTTTGAGGGGTCTGGAGAATGTCAATAGAAAGTCGTATGCGAAGTAAGAAGCCCCTATGAAACAAAAATGGTTAAGAGCTACACTACTAACCAGAAAGTTGGCAGTTCAAACCCACCTGGAGGCACGTTGGAAGTAAGGCCTAGTGATCTGCTTCCAAAGGCCATAGCCTTGAAAATCCTATGAAGTTCAGCTCTGCTTTGAAATGCATGGGGTACCAGTGAGTTGAAATCACCTCAACAGCAACTAACAACAATATGCAAGGCAAGGATTCTGAGGTGGCCCTTCATTAATATCATGCCTTCAGAAACTGGGAAGCCCATTCAGAAACCTCTATAAAGAGTGTTATGAAGTGTACTGTAGTACTTGGTGTAGGTGGTAACTGAGAAGAATCTGCCTGTTGATTTATTTTTCACTCAAACATTGATATCCTGTCCTGCAAAGTGGATTTCTTTTAAAAACAAGGTGGAGTCTCACCTGGTGATAGTGATTTATTAACTACACTTGGGAGTTCTAGTCAAAACTAGGAATAAGGATCAACTCATCTGTTAATATTCTAATTCTGTTTCTGATTCTAAAACACAATTTGATCAAGAAAGAGTGCTCTATGGGTATCTAAAATTTATTTTAAAATGGGGCAAATATCTCTGATGACTAGCATTTTATTTCTGTTTACAGATCAAAAGCATAGAAACTTTTGCTATGCATATCTGTGAGCACTTCCTCTCTTCTTTTAACCATGTCATTCGAGTTCAAGTTTATGTGGAAGAAGTCCCTTGGAAGCGTCTTGAAAGGGTTAGCTCATTTATTTGTGTTCCCAGTTTAATTTAATAAATTGGTTTTACAACATATGCTGAATTTTTCACTTTTTTTTTTTTTTTTCTAATTTTCAGAATGGTGTTAAGCATGTCCATGCATTTATTCACACTCCCACTGGAACACACTTCTGTGAGGCTGAACAGACAAGGAGTGGTGAGAGATATTTTTTGTGCTTTGATTCTGCAATTATGTTTTCAGGTCTCCTTTCCTCTGTCTAAACAACTCCATGTTTTAACACCAAGGAAACTATAGAGAATTTTGAGAGCTTGTAAGTCTGAGATGGGAATTTGAGAACTGTGATTCTGGATTACATTGAATTACTCTCCATTCTTTATCTTAAAAATATAAAAATGGAATAATTCCTTATGCAACAAATCTGGGGCTTAAGTGGGGTAAAATCATTGTTATTACCCAATATTGAAGTGCGGCAAAAAAAAAAAAAAAAAAGTCACCAACAGACAAGAATCAAAACTTTTCAACTTTCTGACTTTTTCTTTCCTTTTTTTAATAATATACCATGCTATAGGAGCTCTGGTGGCTTAGTGCCAAAGGCATTTCACTGCTAACCAGAAGGCTGGTGGTTCAAATCCCCAGCCACTCCTCGGAAGGAAGGTTGGGGAATCTACTTCCATAGTGATACCACCTTGGAAACCCAAGGAGGGGTCGCTGTGAGTTGGGCCTGACTCCTAGGCAGAGAGTTTGGTTTTTGGTTTTACCAACCTATAATTATAATAGTCTTTATTGGAAATTTCTACTAAATAGCAATCAAGTTTCCATGACATTTTATTTGCATAATAATAAAACCATTGATATGATCATAATTAAAATAATAAAATGATTTTCACTTAAAGCAGCAATAACAATTATATAATTCTATTTACCAAGAAATTTGAAAGTTAATTGTGGAACATAATTAGAATACAGAGCTTATTAGTACTGATAATTAAACATAGTAAATACTATTAAAATTCTCAAAGCTTGTCCTCTGATTTGTTGAAGTTTTCAGAGTAGAGTTCAATAATTGGCTAAAAACTAGATTAGAAAACCTTTAAGAATCATAAAGCAAAGCATAAAAAGTAGACTTTAGTGATCATTATAAAGAGAGAATATGAGCTCAGAATTTTTTTCCTTTCCTTTTTTTTCTTTCCTGTTTCTCCTTTCTTCTCTAGCTCTCTTGGGTAGGACTTCGAGGTGGCATCTAATAAATATAAGACATATTATAAGGTTAATAAAATACATATGTTGCCTATTCTTTATTCTGAGTCCTATTGGATAATTCTCCCCTTGGAAAGTTTTAGTGTACTAGCAATCATTTCATATTTTTTACTATCTGTGTTAAACTCTAGACATAGCTAGGACCATCTCAGTGTCTGAGTAACAGCTATAAAAGAGATTAAATAGTTATTAAATAAAGGTGAAAACATGATTTTTTTCTTCATGATAAGTTGTTTGTAGTCATGTAGTACAAAAACTCTGATAGAGCTGTTAGTTAACATCTTCCACCCACTTGCCCTTCCTTCTCTTCTTTCCTTCCTTCCTCCCTTCCCTCCTACTATAGTATAGCTGTTCAAACCCACCAGCCACTCCTTGGAAAGAAGATGGGGCAATCTACTTCTGTAGTGATACCGCTTGGGAAACCCAAGGAGGGGTTGCTATGATTTGGGTCCGACTCGAGGGCACATAACAACAACAACAGCCATAACAAAGCACCACAAAATGGATGTCTTTAAAGAACAGAAATTTACTTTCTCACAGTTCAAAAGGCTAGAAGTCTGAATTCAGGGCATTGGCTTTAGGAGAAGGTCCTTTTTTGTCTCTTTTGTCTTCTAGGAACTTGCAGCAATCCTTGGCATTCCTGGGCTCTTAGATACATCTGGGTGTGTCTGTATCTATTCTGCTCTTATTATAACACGTCACTAAGAAGTGATTACGTTTAAGGCCCATCTTACTCTGGTATGATGTCATTAACATGACAAAGAAAACCCCTATTTCCAAACAGTATCACATTTACCTGTATGGCGGTTAAGACTTCAATATGATTTTTTGGAAGACACAATTTGACCCATAAACATCATTACTTCTTTCCCTCCTTCCTCCTTTTCTCCCTTCCTTCCTTCCTCTTTCCTTCTTGGCTTTGATATGTAATGTTGGAGGAGAGAGGAAAGGAAATTTTTCTAACTCCCAGGTTGGCATTTTTTACCCAAATTATATTGACTACCCATTGCCACTGAATCAATTCTGACTCACAGCGACCCTATAGGACAGGGTAGAACTGCTCCATAGGGTTTCCAAGGCTGCAGTCTTTATGGGAACAGACTGCCACATCTCTCTCCAGCTGAGTGGCTGGTGGGTTTAAACTGCCAACCTGTCAGTTAGCAACTGAGAGCTTAACTACTCAACTACTAGCACTCTGTATTGACTACCCTCATAAAATTATAAACACTAAACCAGCACTGTCCAACAGAAATATAGTGCTAGCCATATACATTATTTAAAAATTTTCAAGTAGTTACATTAGAAAAGCAAAAGTGAAGGGAAATTCATTTTAATAATGTATTTTATTAACTCAATATATATTAAATAATACCATTTCAGAATATAATAAATATAAAAGTCATTAATAAAATATTTTATATTCTTTTTTAAAATTGAATATTTAAAATTTTGTGTGTATTTTATGTTTATAGTAAATTTTAATTCACATTAGCTATGTTTCAAGTGCTTAGGAGACAGATATGGCTAGTGGCTATCATATTGGTCAGCACAGTTCTAAACTATTTTACAGTGATTCTTAGGATTCTTAGCAAAGTCTTTATTCTACCTTTAACTATGTAAAATGATAGTCTAGAAAAGATTTCACAAGAGCTAATTTAAAAATGAAAGCATTTATGAAAAGTGCTTTGTGTCATTAATTCATATACTGTTGTTCAGCAATTAGATTTTGAGCATTCATTATATTTTCTAGGAGCTGTAGATACAAAGTTGAATATGATGTTCCCTGACTGTACTCTCATGGATTGATAATAGCTAAATAGTAGGAGATTGACTTATAAACAGCATTTACTATACTATGAGGGACTAAAGACTACAATGGAGGGATTAAAGACATGCTGTGAGAGCAAAGAGGTGCAAAAAACTAGCTCTTTCTAGACTTGACAGGAAGGAGGAAATATTCCAGTTGACTTTTGAAAAATGATTCAGAATATGCTTGGCATAGAAGGGGGAAAGAGAATTACAAATAGAATGAAAAAGAATGGATACAGGTATGAAGGAGCTCTGGTGGTGCAGTGGTTAAAGTATGTGGCTGATAACCAAAAGGTTGGCAGTTCAAACCCATCAGCCACTCTGCAGGAGAAATATGTGGCAGTCTGCTTCTATAAAGATTTACAGTCTTGGAAATCCAGTTTTGTTTGGTCGTATAGGGTCACTATGGTAGTGCCTAAGGCATTTGACTGCTAAGCAGAAGGCTGGAGGTTCAAACCCACCAGCCACTCCTCGGAAGGAAGGTTAGTCAATCTACTTCCCTAGATATACCACCTGGGAAGCCCAAGGAGGGGTCGCTATGAGTCAGATCTGACTCGACAGCAGTGAGTTTATGAGTTGGAATCGACTCAATGGCAGTGGGTAGAGTTTATATAGATAGGAGTCATGAAGGAGAAGAATAATATTTTGAACATCTGTCTTACACTGATTGTCATCCTGGGCAACTCATCTTACTGTGGCATGGGCAAAGCATTTCAGAATAGTAACACATTTGGTGGGCTAGTACTTAGTATGTATGAAGTTGAGTTGAAGATGAAGTCGGTTTGGGCTGGACTCTGAAGAAATTTGTGTGCCATATTGACATACAGGCAGTTTTACATGTTGGTTAATCCCATAGGTCTTGGAGTTAGACTGTATTTGAATTTGAGCTCCACTACTTAATGATTTTGTGACTGTCGGCATGTTACTCAATCTACTTCAGTTGTTTTTCATTTGTAAAATGAGAATAACAGTGTCCATCTCATAAGGTTATCCAGAGATTTAAAGGAAACAAATGTCAAATATAAAGCATTTAGCACAGTAATTGGCACATGGGAAGCACTCCTTAAATGCCATTATTATTATTTAGAATGACAACAGGAAGCCAGGGAAAGTCTTCCCAGATGTGTATGTGTATGTGTGCATGTTTACTTTTGTTCAGCAATTCTGAGCAAAGTATGGCAAACAGCCTGGAGAAACAGGCAATAGGGAGAAGAGGAAATTGTTGAGTGTGAACTAAGGCAGTAGCAATAGAAATGGAGATTGTCAGAGGGCATTATATAAGGCATTTCTGAAGTAAAACCAGTAGGTCTTAGGGGTTAAGAAAGGATGGGAGGCTAGAGAGAAAATGGAAGAATTGGGGGAATGGACTATGGAAAATATGCAAAAGGAGAAAGTTTAATGGGGAAGCTGGTAAGTTTGGGAATATAAGTTTGAGGTAGATTTGGGGACTACCAATTGATTGATGGTAGGTGACACTGTGGGGAGAAAGGAGATTGCTCAAGAAAGATATATAAAGTGAGAAGAGAGAAAAATGAAGAGGCAAGAGTATCCCCCAGTTTAAGGGTGAGACAAAAGAATGGTCAGAGAAATATAGGATTGGGGACAGTGTTGTCATGGAGGCAGAAAAATATTAATTTAAGAAATCAAGGGTAGTTATTGATAGGATGCATGTTTTGGTTACCTCTGTGCTGCTCTAACATAAATACCACAAATGGGATGGCTCTAACAAACAAGAGTTTATTCTCTCACAGTTTTGGAGGCTAGAAGTCCGAATTCAAAGTGCCAGGCTCTGGGGGCTGGGTGAAGGTCCCTTAATCTTGGGCTTCAGCTCTGCCTTTTGCTTCTGGCCCACTGAAGCTAGAGGTGTCTCTTCACTCATGTAGCTGCTGGCTAACAAATACAAGGTCAACAAGTGAAAAGGCACAGTCCCAATGTACCACTAATTGAAGTCCATTGAAAGTCTCTAGACTGGCAGAGCATGGCAGGCTGCTGAACAACTCAACTATATGCAGGGTTCAAACATGCCATAAGCTAGAGACCATTCCCAAAGCTGATTCTTATATATGGGATGCAGACCACATTCCTAAAGCAACTACTCAGCTGCTTGTGGTAGATCCCACCATGGAGCT